GATAAAGAGAATCACTACTACAAATTACTAGAGGAAGTAGAGTTAGAACGCTGCATACGAGAAACAAACACATACACATGCGAACAGAACTTCGCGACATATTATGCGGAAACAACAGCACCATGCGAAGTGCAAATATATACACATACACCGGGACAGCTCAATTACTGCGAAAAGAATCATATGATATCTAACACACCGTTGTGGATAGCATTGACGGAGGCGCAAGCGTGGCTCTACTCCACGGCACACAAGCAAGAAATTAGCATTAAGTGCGAAAAGCAAATAGAAGAGAAAATTATATTAGAAGAAACCGGAAAAATAAAACTAAAAGATAATTGCAAGCTAATCACACCAAATGTAATATTAAAAACACGAAAAATTGAGGGAATAAAATATATTCAAAACTACCTCCCCGAATACAATATAACATTAGAAATAAAAAATAAAGACATCGATAAGAATAAGCTAGCGAAAACCGACACGTTACGACAAATAATTAAGAACCCTGTAGATTTAACCAAGTTAAGCATAAGTCTAAAAGAAATAAGAGAAACTCTAGAAGATAGCGATTATAATTTACTCAAAAATAAATACACTGTATACTCTATGGGAACAGGTACCTGCGTAGTAATAATAACAATAATAGGATTAATAACATGGCGCATAAACAAAACAAAATAAAAGCAGAAGAAAAGCGAGACCGCACAGAGGCGCCGCGACGATGCTATGTTATATTAGTCATAAGCACACGATTATATTACAGTTATGCGACAACATATGTAAACTAACAAGTAAGATCACCTTCCATCGAAGGGGGGGAGGGATGCCGCGAGCGCCAAGTAAGGGACACATGAAAGCCGAACCCCCATGGTTCCCTTCCATCACAGGGGAAGGGATGTCGCGAGCGCCGAGAATGCAATCACGCCCACCGCTGACAAAGCGGATTGCGGCAAGCGATACTTTATCCGATGAATTATTATTTTACCAAGCGATAGCGAATTGTGCTAATCGCGCAAATATGATGTAATCGTTCGACGTGAAGCAACTGTGAACCGGGTTGCGCGGCCCTTACGTGGAAAACCGCCGCGAGACCCAGAAATATACCGCGAACGCTGACGAACATGTTGATGACACGGCAAGGACCGGCCGCCCGGAACAGGATAAAAACGGAAGACCGATATGAGGAGAGGACTCGTCAAGATCTGCGTGCCGTCACGTCTGTCGCGGTCCGAATTAGAAAAGACAAACTATATTGAGTGTTAATAAAATTTATTAAAATAAAAAGAAGTGGTGAGTGCTTCCTCCCCGCCGACTCCTGGACCGATCCTCCGAAACGACCCGCACAACAAATTTGAACTCTGCATCTTCCTCTTTTGAGCATAAACTTTTGAGCATACCTTGAAATTAATTACTTATTTTTGAGACTCTAAATTCAAATTATTTAGTCACAATACCGTTGGCTGCGACTAAATAGTACGCTACGCTATTGTCAGCGACCGAATTTGGATTTAGAATCATTATCTTGATTTTAATTAAGAAGTTCAGATTTATTTAAGAAAGAAGAATAAGATTTCAGTTTTCCAATTATTTTAGTTTAAAATTACTTTATTTAGTCGAGAAGGCTTTTAAATTTAAATTCTCCTAAGAGAAATATTACGAACAGAAATTTATTATAAATTTAAGAATTCAACCCTAAGATCGATCGCACAATTTATGATTCAAAATATTCTCTGAATAAAATGAACTGAACTGACTA